CTCCTCTTACTCATGCCAAACAAGACCGTAGAATAGCATGATGGGAGGACAGATTTTGACGGAAGAAGGATTTAGGTGGAATTTCGTAGCTTACAGAGTCAGTTGCCTTTTTACCAAACTTGCTCCCACACCAAAAGAAAACCTAATGAACTCATTTATGCAGAAAGGATTTTAAGCAAACCTGTACAAACACACCTAACATGCCGTAAAAAAAGGATGCCTGTTTAGTTTGCTTCCAGCACGCAGCATCCATTTATGGGTGCCCAGGAAACTAGGAACTCCAATACATATACTATCCTTTTCTTCACAGTACTAACATCTAGAGAGCACACGATATGTAATATTTTGTCCTTAAGTAAGTGATCATTTAAAATTCCAAGATTAAACCCACTAAGTTAACGTGAATATTTATCAAAAATACTTTTCAAAAAGAATGCTTTTTTAAGAAAGAGGTTTCTCGTACAAACGGTGGAACTACACCAGGATCAGCAGAAGATATGGTCCTTTTAGGAAAAAGGACTGCACACATAAGCCTAGGAGTTGAGTTTTACATCTATCTTTTAGGGAAAGAACATCTCTTTCAAATGATTCCTACAGCCAAAACCAGCTGTGACTTTCTTAGAATGGTGGGCAGAAAATAGGATCTTCATAAAACTTAAGAAGGGGCACTAGCTAGTTTGAGTAACACCTTAGAGAAACACTCCCAAACACTCAAAATCACCGCATAGCTGAGCCTCTGGGGCTGAAAAACTGAAATGCTTGCCCAAGTGAAAGAGCTGTGAACACACAAAAGATTTGTGCAAATCCTGTCTCTGGTATTTGGAAGAGAGGGTTCAGTATGTGTGCTGAGGGAAGGGGGTCCCAGGTGGAATGTTCAACATCAACTTACTCTGGAATAGCTTGACTCAGAAACACCTGGGACAGGTATTTACTCTGGGAGGAATACTAGAGTTACTGAATATAAGAATATATTTTAGAAGAAACAGCAGTCCCTGAAGAGTCAGGTAATTTTGTTTTCAGGCCCTTAGGGTTTTTTTTTTTTTAATTTAGAAATAATTCATACACCATAAAAATCACCCTTTTAAAGTGTACAATTCAGTAAGTATTTTTTAGCATATTCACAAAGTTGTGCAACCATCACTAGTATCTAATTCCAGAACATTTTAATCACCCCCAAAAGAAACTGTTTTGTGAGAAGGGAGATGATTCGTTTTCAGCAATACCAAATAAAAGCTGCGCTGTCTAGTTAACAGTAGGTTTACAATCTGTTGGAAATATATATGAACCACCCCCCATAATTGAGTCCCAAACTCTTAGACACTTCACTTCCTGGTCTTCCTCCCCTCTCCATTTCACAGCTTATTTTTATGGGCTTTGCAATGAGCATGCACCAAAGAACAAAGGAGGGACTGAAAGTCTCCACCTTACCTCAGAAAATGTACATTTGTACCAATCAAACTGCTTTTGCCTTACATGGGCATAGTCGATGTCTGGGTAAGGCTGTAACCTCTGTATTACTCAGCCAATGAGGAATCAGGGGAGGGACTTGCACACTAGGAGATAAATTGTCTGCTGTAACTGCCCCGAGTGTGCCTGTCCCACTCTTGCAAGACACCCACTCTTGCAAGAAAGTTGATCAAAGCCTTGCTTCACTGTGTGCCTAATCTCCACGTCCCTCCTTTGGTTGAGTCAGTGGGTTTATGCCATTTTCTTCACGGCGTTTGGGAGAAGAATGAGGTATAAAGAAGTCAGCTGCAAGAGAAAGGGAGCAGGGGACGACAGTTTGGAAAGACAGTTGCCCTGAGCAACTCCTCATTCTCATATTAATTGAGAAAACCACATCAACCATCAATAGGCATCACAATTTATTATACTGTTTAAAGAGTATTCTTAGGAGGAAAACAGAACTTGTTTAAGCACCTAGCGGGAGTAATCTATGGTTGAGCAAGCACAAAGAATCTGATTAGACCCATAGCAGGTGGTCATGGTCTCTGAGAAAGTGGAGAAGTACCAGCAAAAGAAGCAGGTGGCTGTCCACCCTGAGCGGGCCAGGCATTCCCTGCTGCTTGGCTTCAGCAACATAAATCAACCGTCTCCCCAGAGAGACGTTTCAATAGAGGTTTTTCTTAGAGCTGTATTGTTTATTGTACAGTTCTAGTTAATGTTTTCCTCTAGTTATGTTTGAAGCATCACATCGATCCGAGGGACCACTACAGCCTTATTTCTCCCAGTTTTCATTATCAAGTTTCCCTATTCCCCCTCTCCCAAATTGCTAGCAACCTGTAATCTACTTTCTGTCTCCATAGATCTGCTATTCTGGATGTTTCATATAAATGAAATCATACAATATGTGGCCTTTTATGTCTGCCTTCTTTCACTTAGCATGATGTTTTCAAGGTTCATACATGCTATAGCATGTGTAAGCACTCCATTCCTTTTAATGTCTGACTAACATTCCATGGTATGGAATATCATGTTTTATTTATCTGTTTATCAATTGACGGACATTTGGATTGGTTCCACTTTTAGGCTATTTCGAATAATATTTGGATATTCATGCACAAATTTTTGTGTGGACATATATTTCCATTTCTCTTAGGTACACACCTAGGAGTGGAATTGCCATGTCATACAATAACTTTATGTTTAACTTTTTGAGGAACTGTAAAACTGTTTTCCAAAGCAGTCGTACCAGTTTACATTCCCACCAACAACGTATGAGGGTTCCAACTTCTCCACATCCTCACCAACACTTGTCATTGTCTGTCTTTTTTATTATGGCCATTCTAGTAGGTATGACATAGTATGTCATTGTGGTTTTGATTTTCATTTCCCTATTTACTAATGATATTGAGCATATTTTCATGTGCTTATTAGCCATTTGTATATCTACTTTGGTAAAATACTTTGCCCGTTCATAAATGGGTTGTTTGTCATTTTATTGTAACAATTTTTTATATAGGCTGGATACTAGTCCTTTATCAGATATATGATTTGCAGATATTCTCTCATTCTGTGGCTTGTCTTTTTCACTTTCTCCTTAGTATCCATTGAAGCACAAAGGTTTTTAATTTTGAAGAAGTCCAATTCATTACTTTTCTTTGATTGCTTGTATTTTTGTTGTCATGTCTCAGACACCATTGCCTAATAGAAGATTATGAAGATTTATATCTATGTTTTCTTCCAAGAGTCTTATAAATTTAGTTCTTTATCTATTTTGAGTCAGTCTTTGTGGAGTAGTAGTCTAACTTCATTCTTCTGCATGTGGATATTCAGTTTCAACACGCTTTGTTGAAAAAAAAAAACTATTCTTTCTCCCATTTTATTATCTTGGCAATTTCTGAACTTTCTTCTATCCCATTGATCTGTGTGTCATTAATGCCATGATCACACTGTCTTAATTACTGTAGCTTTGTAGTTAAATTTTGAAATCAAGGGGCGCCTGGGTGGCGCAGTCGGTTAAGTGTCCGACTTCAGCCAGGTCACGATCTCGCAGTCCGGGAGTTCGAGCCCCGCGTCGGGCTCTGGGCTGATGGCTCAGAGCCTGGAGCCTGTTTCCGATTCTGTGTCTCCCTCTCTCTCTCTGCCCCTCCCCCGTTCATTCTCTGTTTCTCTCTGTCCCAAAAATAAATAAACGTTGAAAAAAAAAATTTTTAATAAATAAATAAATAAAATAAATTTTGAAATCAAGAAATGTGAGTCCCCTAACTTTGTCTGATGGTGTTTTATGGGTCTTTTCCAGATTGTTTTGGCTATTCTGGGTCCTTTACATTTCCATGTAAATTTTAGGATCAGCTCATCAATTTCTTGAAGAAGAAAAAAAACAGTTGGAATTGTGAAATCCCATAGATATTGATATGGGTATATAGTAATAGATATGATATAGACATAGACATAGACATAGACATAGACATAGACATAGACATAGACATAGATAGATATGCCCCCAATTCCTGGCACAGAGCTCCCAAAACATTTATAATCTCCTGAGTGATAGGAGTATCTTTTGTTCTAATGAGCCAACTCTTGATGGGCTCCTGGATGGGGGCTAGTCACCAGAAAGACCAAGCCATGATTAGAAGCTTGGAACTTTCAATCTTACACCCTCTCCATCCTCCAGGGAGGGAGGTGGGGCTAGAGATGGAGTTAATAATTGATCATGCCTACATGATGAAGCCTCCATAAAAATCACTAAAGTAGGGGCGCCTGGGTGGCGCAGTCGGTTAAGCGTCCGACTTCAACCAGGTCACGATCTCACGGTCTGTGAGTTCAAGCCCCGCGTCGGGCTCTGGGCTGATGGCTCGGAGCCTGGAGCCTGTTTCCGATTCTGTGTCTCCCTCTCTCTCTGCCCCTCGCCCGTTCATGCTCTGTCTCTCTCTGTCCCAAAAATAAATAAACGTTGAAAAAAACAAAATTTAAAAAAAAATAAAATAAAATAAAAAATCACTAAAGTAAGGGGTTTGGAGAGCTTCCATGTTGGTGAATACATCCACATGCCAGGAGAGTGGCACACTCCAACTTTATAAGAACTGAAGCTCCTACCTTTGGGACCCTTCCAGATCATGCCTTATGTACCTCTTCATCTGAGTATTCATTTGTATCCTTTATGATATGAGAAACTGACAAACGTGTTTCCCTGAATTCTGTGAGCCACTCTAGCAAATTACCAAATCCAAAGATGGGATTGTGAGAATCCCCAATTTATAGCCTATTGGTCAGAAATACCAGAGGCCCAAACTTGCAGTTGGCATCTGAAGTGGGAAGCAGTCTTGTGGGACTGAGCCCTTAACCTGCAGGATCTGATAGTAACTCCAAGTAGATAGTATCAGAATTGAGTTAAATTGCTTGTTGTGGAAAAACCCATGCATCTGGTGTCAGAAGTGAAATGTTGTGAGTACCCTAGAGAGAGAAACAGAGTTGTTTTATCTTGGAATTTTGATGGGGACTGTATTAAATCTGCCTATCAATTTGGGAGTATTGTCTTAATAACATGAAATCTCCTGGATTTGTTTTATTATTCATTGATACTTAACATTAATGAGCAGGCACAAACAAATTCAGGTTTCCTAAGACCTATTCTTCTGTCATTGTTAGCCTAATCTTCTCCCAACCTATTGGGCTGTAGTGTCCAAAGCAATCCCATTGGCTGGAGGTGAAAGCTAGTGTTGCAGTGCTCTGGATGACAGAAAGATAATGTTCACCATGAAGTAGCCACTAGCCCACTGGTTGTTTCCTGTACCTCCCTTTTCTGCTTTGTAGTTCAGAAACATTTCTTTGAAAGACAGAGAATCCATAAACGGGAGCAGCCTGTCAAATACGTTACCAATCATTTCATCTTTGTGGGCTGTAATGTGAAAGTCACCAAGTTAAATCCAGGAAAGCTCCAGCAGCTGTTCTTTCATATGCTTTTCTACTAAGTAAATATGTTTTGTTAAAATATAAGCAGCATAAGCAATTTTATAATTCCCGTATTCAAATTCCTGATAGTATTTGTCCATGGAATTTCCCTGCGACTCGTAGAACTCTTGGTCGATGATAATGTCCTCTAAATATCCAACCACAGCATCAGTCCTGCAACAGAGCAGATAGATGTGTTTTGCTTCTTCTAAGGAAGACAGTGGTACCCACCAGTCTCCTACCTTGCCCTTGGCCTGAGCCCTGGCTAGGCCCCATAAAGCCCCACCAGCATTGAGGGCATGTTGAAGAGGCTTCCAGGGGTGCCACCCATGAGCCTGCATTGTGGGCCCAGGCCACAGCCATGCCCAGTCTGTACCTACACAGCAGGCCTTGGCCACAGCCTCCTCCTGCTGAGATTACACTCTGCCTGTGGCTCCTTATGCCCATTATTCTTAACATAATCTTTTCTTTCTTTTTTTTTTTTTAAGTAGTCTATATACCCAGCATGTGGCTCAAGCATATGACCCTGAGATCAAGAGTTGCATGCTGTATAGACTGAGCAAGCCAGGTGCCCCTCAACATCATTCTTTTAAAATGGTCTTTGGCTACAGGGAGAAGAAACAAAAGAATATAAAGGGGATAACATAGATTAAGAAGCCAAGAGAATGGGGAGCCTGAATCAAAAAGAAGAAGAGGGGAAGGAAAGAGGGAATCCCATTTTTAAGCAAATGGCTTTATCAAAGCAACACCATCACAAAATAAAAGCTGGTTCTTAATGCAGACCTAGTTCTTTTGGAGAGATATTCTTAAAAGAGGACACTGTAATCCTGGACTTATAAAAGTGATAGTATTCTATTGGCATTAATTTTTCTTAGATAGTGACTAAGTGTATGTTTTATTCAGAGCAATCCAAAAAGGGGGGGGGGGGGAGCTGGAGGTTGGAAAGACAGACTTAGGACATTAATTCTTAATGATGACAAGGAAGATGACAAGATAAAGTGGAAGGAGATTTTCAGGGAAAGAGCCAGCATGTCTGGAATAAGTGGGAATTGAAAATCACCCAAGGAAACTGAAATTGGTAAATTTGTGGAGATAGATTTACTTCTTCCCTAAACTCTCTACGAGATTGCCACACTTGGTAAGTCATGTTGCCCAAATGACTTTCTTGGGGAGCTTCCGAGTGACTTGACCTCTGTTGCCATAAAGCCAGATTCCAATCTGCTCTTCTCATTTTGATTCCAGATGTTCACCAGGTGCTAACCAAAGATTATCTCCTGCCATTGGGATTTTGAGTAATTTTTATTCTTTTTTTTCGTAATTGATCCAATGTTTTACATTAAACATATATTGATTTGAATTTGGAGAAAATATCAATAAAAAATGATTCCTATTTGGAGAAAAATGTGGCCCAGTCCACAGTCCTGGATCTAGGTCAGAATCCCAGGACACTGATGTCAAAACTTCCTCACCATTTCCCTGCAACCCTTACCAAGGAGCTGGTGTTTCATGTGAAGTTGTAGAGGTAAACAGGTCCCATTCAGAGAGGACAATAGTTGTAGGTGGAGTGTCACCTGAAAGCAGTGACCAACTTTGCCTTGCCTTAGAGGATGCACATTCTGGCCTCATCTAGCTCCCACAAATATTGTATTTTCTTCTTGACTTTGGAGAAAACCTTGAAGTCTCAGGAGTTGTGAAGCTGAGTTCTTCTGCACCACCCCCCCAAAAAAAGCCTCAGAACTACACCTCCAGTAAAGGTGAGGACTTTCACGTGTTGTGGTTGAAACTTTTATATATATGAAAATGTGTGTATGTGTTGTCAAAAGCCTTGAGGGAATGGAAGTCTCAAGTCAGAAAGGGAGATTATCTCCTGGATCTGACTTGATTGCATTAATAACCTTAGATCCATAATAAGTGCCTGTGTTAGTCTGGGTTCTCCAAAGAAACAAAGTCAATAGGAGATGATAGAGAGAGAGGGAGAGAGAGAGAGAGAGAGAGAAGAGAGAGAGAGAGAGAGAGAGAGAGAGAGAGAGAGAGAGAGAGATTATTATGAGAGATTAGCTCACACAGTTATGGAGTGGAGGTTGAGAATTCAACAACTTGCTGTCTACAAACTGGAGGGTCAGGAAAGCTAGTGGTGTGGTTCCAGTCCAAACTCGAAGGCCCAGGAACCAGAGTAGTTGATGATGTAATCACAGTCTGAGTCCAAAGGCCTGAGAACCAGGCATGTCGATGTCTGAGGGCAGAAAATGGATATCTCAGCTCAGAAAGCAGACCAACATAAGCACTGTGGGAGACTCAGAAGGAGAAGAGACAGAAAAGAGCAAAGAGGGTATTTGAAGAAATAATGGCTGAAATCGTTTCAAGTTTGATGGCTATAAACATCCAAGAAGTTCGAAACTCCAAGTAAGATGAACTCAAAAAGACTCACACCAAAACACATTATAATCAAACTTTCAAAAGTCAAAACCAGAGAGAGAATCTTGAAAGCAGCAAGAGAGAAGCAAATCACCACATACATGCAATCCTCAATAAAATTATGAACACCTTTCTAATCAGAATCTTTTGGGGGCAAGAAGACAGTGGGCCAACATGTTCAAAGTACTAAAAGGAAAACAATTGTCAATGAAGAATCCATTATCCAGCAAAACTGTCCAAAAAGGAGGGAGGAATTAAGATATTACTAGATAAAAGCCGAAGGAATCTATAACCAGTGGACCTGCTCCACAGGAAATGCTCAAGGAAGCATTGAGCTTGAAATGAAAGAACATGAGACAGTAACTCAAAGCCATATGGAGAAATAAAGATCTCAATAAAGGTAAATATACAGGCAATTATGAAAGGTAGTATTATTGTAACAATGGTTTTTGATTAAACTTTTTGTCTTCTATATGACTTAAGAGACTAATATATTTAAAGAAAAACTATTAGTGTAAAAGCTAGTATGACTTTAACTTTGGTTTGTAGCTCTAAATCTTATCTTCTACTAGATAACTAGTAGGTAACTAGAAGTAGCTAACTTCTATTAGAGAGTAGCGCATTTAAAAAGAAGTATTAGGGGCATCTGGATGGCTCAGTCAGTTAAGCGTCCGACTTCGGCTCAGGTCATGATCTCACGGTTCATGAGTTCGAGCCCCGCGTCGGGCTCTGTGCTGACAGCTCAGAGCCTGGAGCCTGCTTCACATTCTGTATCTCCCTCGCTCTCTCTGCCCCTTCCCTGCTCATGCTGTGTCTCTCTCTGTCTCAAAAATAAATAAACATTAAAAAAAATTTTTTTAAAAAGAAGTCTTAGTTCACGGCACACAATGTATAAAGATGTAATTTTGTGACAACAACAACCAAAAGCGGGGAGAGTGGAACTGTAAAGGAGCAGTTTCTGTGTTACTGAAGTTAAACGAGTATAAATTCAAATTAAAGAGTTATAAGTTTAGGGTGTTAATTATAATCCCCCATGGCAACCACAAAGAAAAGACCTATCAAATATACACAAAAGGAAATGAGAAGATAATTAAAACATTTTGCTATTAAAAAAATCCAACTAAACACAAAAGTAGATGGTAATACAGGAAATAAGGGACAAAAATACTATAAAAAACACACAGCAAAATGTCAGAAGTAAGAGTCTCCTTAGGAGTAATTACTTTAAATGCAAACTGATTAAACTCTCCAATCCAGGGATTGGCAGAATTGACTTATAAATCGGATCCAACTATGTGCTATCTATGAGAGATTCACTTTAAATCCAAAGAAACTAACAGATTGCAAGTGAAAAGATGGGGAAAAAATTCTGTGCGTATTGTAAGCAAAAGAGAAGGGGTAGCTGAACTAATAACAAACAAAATAGACATTAAATCAAAAAAGTTTACAAGGGACAAAGAAGGACATTATAAGTGTTCGTTAATAAGTGTTCAACACAGCAAAGAGATACAACAGTTATGAACATTTACATACCAATAGCAAGTCTCAAAATATAAGCAGCAAAAACGGATGGAATTAAAGGGAGAAATACAATAATATTTAAACAATTCAGTACCCTACTGACAATGATGAACAGGACAACCAAACATAAAATAAATAAGGAAATAGAGGACTTAAACTGCACAATAAACCAACTAGGTTTAGCAGGCATTTCAGAGCACTTTACCCAACAAGAGAATACACATTCTTCTCAAGTGCATATATCTCAGGATATGCCATATGTCAGGCCACAGATTAAGCTTCAATGCATTTTGTAAAAAAAAAAAAAAATAGATATCGTTCAAAGTATGTTCTTTTACCAAAATAGGATAAAGTTAGCAATCAATAATAAAAGGAAAACTGGACATTTCACAAAATTGGGGGAATTAAATAACACACTTAAAAAAACTTTTTTTTTTTTTTTTTTTTTTGAGAGAGAGCACATGTGAGGAGGGAGAAGGGCAAAGAGAGGAGAGAGAGGGGCGCCTGGGTGGCTCAGTCGGTTAAGTGTCCGACCTCAGCTCAGGTCATGATCTCATGGTTCATGAGTTCAAGCCCCACATCTGTCTCTGTGCTGACAGCTCAGAGCCTGGATCCTGCTTCGGATTCTGTGTCTCCTTCTCTCTCTGCCCCTCCCCCGCTCACACTCTGACTCTGTCTCTCAAAAATAAATAAACATTGAAAAAAAAAATTTTTTTTTAAAGAGAAGGAGAGAGAGAATCCCAAGCAAGCTCTGCGCTGTCAGCACAAGGCCAACAAGGGGGTTGATCCCAAGAACCACGAGACCATGACCTGAGCTGAAATCAAGAGTCACATGCTTAACCGACTGAGCCATCCAGGGTCCCCTAAATAACACACTTTTGATCAATGGATCAAAAAAGAAATCACAAAGGAAATTAGAAAATATATAAATGAATGAAAATTTAAAAAAACAATATACCAAAATTTATGGGACACATTGAAAGTGACTCTAAGGGGAAAGTTTATAGCTAAAAATGCTTACACCTCATCACTTCTACTCAACATACTATTGGAAGTTCTAGCAAGAGCACTTAGGCAAGAGAAAGAAATAAAAGACATCCAAAATTGGAAAGGGAGAAGTAAAATTTTCTGTTTGCAGGTGATATTTCTTACAGGTAGAAAATACTAAAGATTCCTCACAAATAAACAAAATCTGTCAGAACTAATAAACTATTTCAGTTAAAAAGCAGGATACAAAGTCAACACACAAAAATCAGTTGCATTTTGGGGCACCTGGGTGGCTGTCGGCTAAGTGTCTGACTTTGGCTCAGTTCATGATCTCATGGTTCATGAGTTCAAGCCCCGCGTTTGGCCCTGGGCTGAGAGCTCGGAGCCTGGAGCCTGCTTCTGATTCTGTGTCTCCCTCTCTCTCTCTGCCCCTCCCCTGTTCATGCTCTGTCTCTCTCTCTGTCTCTCTGAAATGAATAAATGTTAAAAAAAATTTTTTTAACTTCAGCCTCACCTTATCCAGAAACAGGTGCTCGATGTGAGGCTGGAGTGGTAACCAGCCCCCCATTCAGGTTGGACAATGGTTGTCAAGCAGGGTTTCCTGGGAGGGGTGACTAGTTTCTGCTACCTCAGAAGAGCCACTCTGGGACCCTATCCTGCATGCATAAAAATATTAAAGTTTTTTTCTCTTTGATTTCAGAGAAATTCCAGCCCTCATCTTCTGTTAAACAAAAAGACTCTGAAGGACATAGCACTCCAAACATGGTAAAGACTTTCACGTGATTAGAAATTTCCGGTCACTTTTAGTTTCCAACCTACTTACCAGTCCAGGATAGGGGGGAAGATATACCAACAAGAGTTTCTCTTGGTCCCTCTGAGTTGACCAACATCATAATCTGACTAACGTAATCCTGGAAATGATCAGGCACAAAAGTAAACAGGGACCTAACAGACAAGACAATAATAAACAGTTATTTATTGATCAATAACATCCAAGTAGAGTCTTTGACTTGAATTCAGAGTTTAGGGAAAAATATGATTAATGCCTAACCCTTGATTTCCTCTTCTTGGCAACGCGTCCGCTGTGGTTGGGTCTCTATTCCAAGAGTGGATAAACAAAAGAAGCTCCTCCAATTTTACCTGGAAACCCAGACAGGAGGTGAAGATGGTAGAAGTGGGAGAGAATCAAACTCCTTGACCTTTGTCTCTCCATAGATGGCTACAAGTAGGAGGGAGGGTTGAAGTGCGTGGAGAAAAGACTATGGAAATAATTCGGTGGCGGAGGGAAGGGGGAAAGGATGTGGGAGGCTTCCTGGTAGGAGGAGGACATCCTTATGCTTCTGTAAGCTGGAAGCACTTAAGATTCATATCCCGCTCACATTTCTTTGCAGAGCTCCTCCAGGCCCCAGCACCATGCGTCATTGCCTATGGAAATATATCATAGTTGTTGTGTCCTTAATCTTCCTGAGCTTCTTCCTCCAAGAGAATAATGAAGAGCATCTTACATATAACTTATCATTGGTAAGAACCAGAGGCTGAGACTGGACTGTTTGTCAATCCTTCGGTAGGAGGGGATGGGTTTCCAGTTATCCAAACGCTGTAGTTATCATCATAGAAGTTCTAAGAAGAGGGCACTTGAAGAATCAGGAGAGTGTCAGAGAAAAGATAAATATTGAGCCAGCCTTGAAAGATGGAGAAGACTTGAATAAAGGCAAGGAGGAAGAGAGGGCAGTTTAAGTGCAGAGAGAGCAATGCACAGATACTTCTAGAAAACCAGGCTGACTGGCAGGACCTGCATGTGATGAGGACTGCCTGGGTGCTGGCCACTTTCCTCATCAGAGTCTCGTGTGAGAGATGTTATTCGTCCCATTTCTCTTACGAAGCGATTGAGACACAAAGCCCTAAAATAACTTCTCCCACATGTACAACAGCTTCAAGCAGAGAAAACCAAATGCTCAGGTTTTGGAAGTCTACATTTTTCCTTAATGCCTCAAACCATCTAGAGAAAAACATAAGTGATGTGGGAAAATGGTTCAGAAATGTGTGCATGGACTTGTACCCCAATGTTTATAGCAGCACTCTCAACAATAGCCAAATTATGGAAAGAGCCTAAATGTCCATCAACTGATGAATGGATAAAGAAATTGTGGTTTATATACACAATGGAGTACTACATGGCAATGAGAAAGAACGAAATATGGCCCTTTGTAGCAATGTGGATGGAGCTGGAGAGTATGATGCTAAGTGAAATAAGCCATACAGAGAAAGACAGATACCATATGGTTTCACTCTTATGTGGATCCTGAGAAACTTAACAGAAACCCATGGGGGAGGGGAAGGGAAAAAAAAAAAGAGGTTAGAGTGGGAGAGAGCCAAAGCATAAGAGACTCTTAAAAACTGAGAACAAACTGAGGGTTGATGGGGGGGTGGGGGGGTGGGTGATGGGTATGGAGGAGGGCACCTTTTGGGATGAGCACTGGGTGTTGTATGGAAACCAATTTGACAATAAATTCCATATATTGGAAAAAATAAAATAAAATAAATAAAAGATGAATAAAAATTGAAAAAAAAAGAAAAAAATAAAAGAAAATAAAAAAGTTGACATGTTTTCCAAAAAAAAAAAAAAAGAAAGAAAGAAATGTGTGCATGGTCAGAGTGGAGTAAAAGAAAGGGTTTTAGAATTGAGGTACTGTGGATAACTTCATGAAGGACAGGACCAGGCATTGGTCTTCAGCACCTACCACAGTCTAAGCTGAGTTAGAGGACTTTTTGCCAGCCTGATAATGGTAGGAGAGATTAGATGTGGGGCAGGGTAGGGCAGGCAAGTCCTTACTCTGCATAAGCCTCTGATCTTCCTATAGGCATTCTTACTTCCTATCTCACTCCAGGGCCCACCACTCCTTCTGGAAAGTCCTGTGGGTTCTCATGGCAAGGTGGGGATAACAGTCAGCTGAGTCCTAACACTTGGGCTCCCGGTGACCAGATCCTGGGGCTTGCCCCACCTGTCCTAAAAGGGGGATCTGCCCCCTTATTTGCCTCCAGGAGTCTAGGGATGAATATCAGGGCTGATGCTCATCTTATCCTCAGCAGGAGGAAAAGAAGAAAATACTGTGGCAGCTCAATCAGGACCAAATGATCTCTGAGAGCAGAAGCCATCTAGAGAACTTCAAGGACATGCAGAAAGCCTCCCCTTTACTCCAACAGGCCAAGTACAAATTGCTAGCTGGATCCCCTCCCCAGGAAAAGAGTGAGTATAGGGGAGGGAGTGGTCAGACTAGGAGAAAGTCAGACAAGGTATTCCAACAAGAAAAAGGAAGATTGCCCGGGCCCCCCCCCCCCCGGGGCGGGGCGGGGCGCCTGGGTGGCTTAGTCAGTTGTGCTTCCAACTCTTGATTTCGGCTCAGGTCACGATCTCACGGTTCATGGGATTGAGTCCTGCATCAGGCTCTGCACTGACAGTGCAGAGCCTGCTTGGGATGCTCTCTGTCTCTCTGTCTCTCTCTGCCTCTCTCTCTCCCTCTCTCCCTGTCTGTCTGTCTCTCTCTCAAAATAAATAAACTTAAAAAAAAAAAAAGAAAGAAAGAAAAGTAAAAGGAAGGTGGGTAAAAAGGGAACGTGAGCTTGTGTCTGGTGGAAAAGCAGGTTGCTCTGAGGGAGGACCAAGCTCTGAAATGTGCTGTAGATCATAATTCTGAGTGTACTTTCTTCCCACTGGCCACCCCATTGAATGACTAACAAGTTGAGAAGTCCATAGTGACCCGTTAAGGAGCCACCCCATAGCGAAGCTCATTCATAGCTCCCCAGGGAGGGGAAGACATGATGAGAGAGGACCCGGAGGGAGCTATGGTCAAAAGCACTGAGCAGAGGGAGAAAGGGGAGGGTGAATGTTGACTAGCTGTGCACTAGGGTGCCAGAACCCTTGGGTTTACATGAGTCCCTGGAGATCCTCCAATCGGGGTCTGGTTGATCCAAGGTAGCTGAGATAACTCTGAGGTCAAGGCCTGGCCAACTGGCCAAGCCAGCAAATTTACCTTTGGTACATGGCAGCCTCCCCCATCAGAGAGAAGCTTGTTTTTCATGAAGTTTCCACCGATAGCCTTTTAAAGTTGTGATCAAATAAAACCACTTGGCAACCTCTAACCAGAGATTATCCTCACCTCTGGACCACACTCTCCCAAGGAAGGGAAATATGAATTTGTCACAGGTGTGGCATTAAGGGGAGACCTGAGAGGAAGTCCTAGGAACCTTTCCCCCATCTTGAAGAGCTAAAATCTCCCTTGTCTCCCTCCACCCCTAGAACTGCTGACCATAGGGATTTCCTCAGAGCAACACCCTAATGGGAGCTACCTCTTGGACACCCTGCGGTCCCTGTTCCAAGCTTCCTCAGAACACGAGCTGAATTGTATCGTGGTGCTGGTCCACCTGTCAGATCCCGACCCCGAATGGCTCAGACGAACAGTTGCCAATATTTCAGACCTCTTCAAACCACATATTGAGGCCCAGAAGCTGCTCGTGATCCACGGTCGTCTCGGTGACTCTCCTCTCCCAGGGGATCGGGATAATGTTAGTCGCACCTCACGCTGTGAAGCGCATTATTCCAGGCAGAAAGTCCATTATGCCCTCCTCATGAACTTTGCTATCAACCTCTCTGAATACTTTCTGATGATGGAAGATTATGTTTACTGCACTTCCAAATTTATTTCTACCATCTATTGGGCATTATCAGCCTGGAAAGAACTACCTTGGGCGATCCTGGAGTTCTCCAGCCTAAGCCTCTCTGGGAAAGTTTTCCACACCAGTGACCTCTCCCACCTGGCCTCTCTCTTTCTCCTTTTCCATAAGGATATTCCCATTTACTTGTTTCTCTCTGAATTCCGCCTTCTCTTGGCCCAGAGTGTTCCAATTCGTTTCAGTCCCTCAGTCTTCTTCCACATAGGCAAGTATCCTGCGTTTGAGGACACATGCTTTCCTGTGGAGAAGGAGAAGGTGTTTGGTGAACCAGACAACCCCCTTGCCAGCGTCCTCACTGACATGATAGCAGAAATGAATGGTATTCCACAATACGCTTATACTCTGAACGAAGAGTGCTACTCTACTCTCAATCCTGTAAGAGGCAACTACTTGACGGTGATTTTGGAGAAGCCACAAAAAGTCATCCGGATAGAGGTCCTGACAGGTTCTGACAAAAAAGGGCTGTATTGGCTACGGCAGGGGCAAGTGGAGCTGGGCTATGATCCCTTGGAGAATTCCAGAGGCTGCACCCGCTATACCCTTCTAGGTCCACTGGTGGAAGGAAATTTAGACCAGAGGGTATTTTATGAAGAAGATTCTGTGGAGGAGTTGAGTTGTATACGACTGCTTGTGCTAGCCTCTCAAGAGTCTTGGCTCCTGATCAGGCAGATCAAAGTCTGGACTCAGCATGAGGAAGAGGAGAGTTATGACAGTGGGAATTCTGGAAAGGTGGGGTTTGGGAATGGAATCAACATGGCCGACCAGAAATAAAACCGAAATTGATCAAGGCCTGCTCCTTCAGAGTAGGATGAGCACGTAATTTATTATCCAAACTGGGACACTTTTGAGAATGAAAGGAAACACTATTAAAAATTACACTAGAAGGGCGGGGGGGTGGGGGGGAGTTGGTACCTGAGTGGCTCAGTTGGTTAAGTGTCAAACTTCGGTTCAGGTCATGATCTCACGGTTTAGTTCATGAGTTTGACCCTGTGCCAGGCTCTCTGCTGTCGGCACGGCGCCCACTTCGGATCCTCTGTCCTCCTCTCTCTCTCTCTGCCCCGCACCCTCCCTCTCTCTCAAAAATAAAAATAGACATTAAAAAAATTACACTAGAGGGGTGCCTGGGTGGCTCAGTCAGTTGAGCATCTAACTTTTTTTTTTTAGTTTTTTTTTCAACATCTTTTCACTTGCAATCTGTCTCTACCCTCACTGTATATGTACCTTCTTCCCAGCCTCCCTGAATTCCATTGTTCTCTGACCCTCTCTACAACCATGGTCCTCCACCTGGAGGGATTTGGCCTCACCACCCCCCCAAGGGGGGACATTTGGCAATGTCTGGAGATATTTCCGGTTGTCACAACGGGGGACGCGACTGACATCTCGTACAAAGAGGCCGAGGATGCTGCTAAACAAACCGCAACAGACAGAACAGCCCCGACCACACAGACATATCCCACCCAAAATGTCAATAGTGCCGATGTTGAGAAACCAGCTTTTCAATGAATCAGCAGCAGCATACATGACAGGATGTCACAACTTTTAAATAGTTTTTCAAAATTTTTGGACGAAATTATCCAAATCACGTAAGGAGAAAATAGAATTATCACATAGCAGAAGGAGCAAACAAAAAATGTTTTATCCACGAAAGGCAAAACCACTAGTTCAGTAAGTAAGTCACGACATGCATAAAATCTATCTAGAAAAATGTCTATAAAAAACAAAATTTATGAGTGTGAAGTTTTAAGGAATTTCTGCTAGGATTTCTTGTAACTTTTTACGATTCTTTACATTTGAACTGCGTGTCTTTTGTTAAATATCAGGTTTTACTTGGGATTTGTAATAGAAAGATGATCTGAATCCTCAAAGGGAGGATATCCATTCCTTATAAATCTATGAATTTCTCAAACCCTCTCCAGTCAGGATTTTGTGCCTACACCCAACCAAAGGTGCTCTTTGTCAAGATTGCTAATGACCTCCTCGTTGCAAATTTTGAAATCTGTCAGCATATAAAGCCACGAGGTTTCCAAGGACGGAGTCCTGGATCATTTCAACACGAAGACGTGGAGTCGATGAAGGGGAGGCACCAAGGGTCAGTGGGAAAGGGTCGCTATAGAGGTAGGAGGGATACCAAGCAAGTGCAACGTGACATAACTACTTTCAACCCTCTTAAGTGTTCTTCGGGTGTTTGTTTGAGTCCGTATCACCATATACTTACACTACCATTTTTTGATTAGTTTTGTATACAATTCCTTATAACAGCCAAGGGATTAGCCCTTTTATGCTACTCCACAAATAGGCCCTTCTCCTTCCCCCATTCTTCCAACAGAGTTTTCTTGATGATCACATTCTCATGCTTTTGTCAAGTATTCACTGCTGAACAAGTCGGTGGCAGGCAATTGCCCAAGGCATTTCTACACAACTCTGGCTCTCTTTTCAAGGATGTTTGTACAGCAAACAGGCTTAGAACCTAGAGCTAGTGTCTTCTACCACCGCAGAGGGCAGATTTGTTTTAAAAGACAGTAACTCTCTCTCTCTCTCTCTCTCTCTCTCTCTCTCTCTCTCTCTGGAGAGACTTAGAGATGTAGTACTCCAGAGACACTGCAGAGACCTTCTGTCCTCTGAGAAGATGTTTCCTCAGCAGGATAATAAAGATAACCTCTCCCTGAGGGGCAAAGTTTGGTCAGGTTTGCTAGCAGTCCCCTTATAAGATTGAGAGTTTCCTAAGATTAGCATTTCTCAGGTGTGACACAGATCCACTGTTCTTCCCAAGAAGAACTGGGGGCAGGGAGCAAAGGGAATTATCGCAGCATGAAGTCCAGGCTACCTGCCGTGTCATGGGTAATAACGGCGTCTTTGTTTCCTTAGCAACTGGATTTATGGAAGTGTGGCAAGACAGCCTAGCAGCTACACTGTGCTCAGGGATTGCTTGATGGCTTGATTTTACAGTAGCGATCCGTGATTATATTTTCTTTCATGTGTAAGTTTTCCCTGGAGCTAGCCGTTATCTCTTGTATTAACTTGCACTGTTGTAGGCACTCAGGACGCATCGGTAAGCAGACCAAGATGGCTCCCCCCTTGGGGCACATATTCTAAAGTGGGAGAGGCAATGAACAGAATAAATAAGTGTGAGGCAGAAGAGATTGCGGGGATTTGAGTATAAGAGTGACATGATCTGACCAAAGTTGTAAAAGAATTACTCTGGCTGCTATGTAGCAAATAGATTATAGAGAAACAAGAGTGGAGATTGGGTTCATTAGGATGCTTCTGCAGACACAAGATGGTTTAGACCAGAGTGGTGGCAGTGGAAGTGGTCATATTTTTTTTTTTAACGTTTATTTATTTTTGGGACAGAGAGAGACAGAGCATGAACGGGGGAGGGGCAGAGAGAGAGGGAGACACAGAATCGGAAACAGGTATATTTTTAACGTACAGTAAAACCTTGGACTGCGAGTGACTTGTTCTGCGAGTGTTCCACAAGATGAGCAAACATTTCTAATAAATTTTAACTTGATAAACTGAGCGATGCCTTGCCATACGAGTAGTACGTGATGCCAAAGGTCACATGATCACAACTGAGCCAATGGTTCTTAAAATTCGCTTTGATGCACAAGTGCTTTGGGTTATGAGCATGTTTTCCGGACGAATTATGCTCACAAACCAAGTTTTTACTGTATTTTGAAAATTGATCCAAGAGAATTTCCTGAATGATTGGTTTTAGGGTTTGAGAAAACAGTAAGAATAACTTCAAAGTGTTTGACCAAATGACTGGAAAGATGGAGCTGCCCTCCACTGAAATGGGAAAGAATTTTTTATATGCCTTTTTAGGAAGTTTGGAAATTTTCTCATCAGGGCCTTGCACCTCCTTCATTACATTTATTCCTACATAGTCCATATTTTCTGTTGATATTAATATATTAATATTATATTAATATAGTATATGTTATATATTAATGATATTATATATAATATAATATATATTATGGTATATTATTATATTGTTATATCATAATATAATAATATTACTATTATTATATTATATTATAATTATTATAATAATGTAATAATTATGTTTAATATATATTATATATATCATTAATATATATTATATTATATGTTATATAATATTATATATAATATAGTATATATAACATATATACTATATAGTATATTATACTATTGTATAATATATAATATAATATATGTAATATAATATATGTTATATATAATAATATATAATAATATATAATATAATTATATAATATATAATATATAATAATATATAATAATATATAATATTATATATTATATATTATATAATAATATATAATATTATATATTACATATTATAATGGTATTAATATATTAAACTATTACTATAATATTTTATTTTATATTCATCAATTATAATGTAGTGGACAATTTAATATTTTAGTTTGATCTTGTATCCAGAAATCATCTTGAATTTTCTTGTTATTTATAATAGTGAGCTCATTGATTCTCTTGAACTCTCGTGCACTATATGCCAGTAATGACTATTTTGTCACTTTCTGTTCTTATTCCTCACTTGTTCTTCTTACCTTGTTGCACTGGCTGGAACAGAGATTAGCAAACTATGGCCTACATGCCAAATATTTCCTATTACCTGTTTCTGTAAATAAAGTTTTTCTTTTTGTTTTGCTTATTTATGTGTTATTTAGGGAGAGAGAAAGAGAGACAGAGACAGAGAGTGCTCAAGCTGGGGGGAGAAGGGCAGAGGGAGTAAGAGAGAGAGAGAGAGAGAGAGAGAGAGAGAGAGACTCTTAAGCAGGCTTCACGTTCAGTCAGCACAAAGCCCGACACAAGGCTCAATCCCACGACCCTGGGATCACCACCTGGGCTGAAATCAAGAGTCAGACACTTAACTGACTGAACCACCCAGGCACCCCAGCCAGTTTTTGTAAATAAAGTTTTAATGGAACATAGTCACTTTCATTCATTCATGTATTACCTATGACTGCTTTCATGCTACAACAGCACAGTAGAATAATTGCAACACAGACTGTATGTCCTAAAATAGTTACTATTCAACCCAAACAGAAAAGGTTTGCCAACTGCTGGGCAAGGATTTCCAATACCATGTTAAACAATAGCATTGATGACAGATATTCTAGCTTTGTTCCTGACTAAAGGAAATGTATCTAAAGTATGATATTTGAAGTAGACTATTGGTATATGATCTTTATCAAATTAAGAAAGTTCTCATCTATTCCTAGCTTCCTAAGAATTATGGGTTTGGGGTTCCTGTGTGACTCAGTTGGTTGGGCGCCCAACTCTTGATTTCAGCTAAGGTCATGATCTCACGGTTCATGGGACCAAACAAGCAGCACACAGCCTGCTCGAGATTCTCTCTGTCCCTTTCTCTCTGCTCCTCCACCCGCATTCATGCACGCATTCCCTCTCTCCCTCTCTCTCTCAAAATAAATAAATAAAACATTTTCAAAAGCCTTAAAAATAATTTTATAAAACTTATGGGGTTGAGCTTTATTAAATGTTTTTTGGCAACTAATGATATGATCATGTGATCATTTTCCATGAATCCGTTAATGCAAAGAATTTTATATAGAGATTTCCTATCTTTCCATCCCTGAGGTAAACCCAACATGATTGTGGCTTATTTTGTTAATTAATTGTTGGATATCATTTGCTAGTATTTTATTTATGAATTTTATATTTATGTTCATACAGAGTAAACAATTTTCCTTTCTTGTGCTGTCTGTAATATCAGAACAGTGTATAATCCCCAAATATTTATTGAACCCCTAATGTA